AATGCAGAAGATGGAACTTATGCAATGAAGAAGGTTCTTATTCAGAACAATGAGCAGCTGGAATTGGTGCGGGAAGAGATTCGTGTTTCATCATTGTTTAGCCACCCAAATCTTCTTCCTCTTCTGGATCATGCTATCATTGCGGTTAAGGTAATTGACATAATCCTCTGTATGTGTGTGTGAGTTTGTCCGTTAATGACCTGCACCTTTTTCAGAGCCTAGAAAATGTGCTTGGCAAAACCAAGTCAACCTGATCCATCAATCTAGCCTGAGAGGAAGTCTGTGCTGTCCTTTGGCATTTTCTTTTGTTTGTTTGTTTGTTCCCTATCGTTATTGTGCTGGAAACATTCCCCAGATTGCAGTGGTTTCCTTGTGACATGTAATTTCCAGTATACCATCCTCTTTTAGGTATTTAAAAGGGAGAAAAATCAATAACAAAACATAATGTCTAATCGGTGTTAATCTGAAGTATGCTAATCATCTACTAACTATACAGCTGATCCTCAAAGGTAACGTAACAGATGAAGTAAAAACATTTTACCTCTTGAATAATTGATCGAATCCCTGAGTGAGAGTTTTTAGGTAATGGAGGCATTATCATGCTGTTTTGAACTGGTATTCACTGTTGATGACTCAAAGCACAAGCCAACCATCTCTCTCTGGTTGATCTTCATCCATTATTGTCCTTTCCTATTGGCTCGAGTTGGAAGTTTGCTTTTGTTATTGTTTTCTGTTCATCCTAGAGGAACATCTACTCTTCCAAATGGGCAATACTCCATACTGGAGTATAGTTGGAAGCCACTCTTGGATGGAAGGTAAAAAGGGTTCTAAATATGTGTAGCTAGCAGGGCTTGGTTAAGAATTTGCCATCAACTGGCACATTGTTTTCTGCTATACATGCAATGGGGCCTTCAAACAGATGCCTGATTCTCAGTAGGTTGCTACGTACTCTATTATGTCTTGTTTGCGCCCGGAATTTTTTTGTCCTTAGGAAGTTTTTCTGCATCTTCCCCTATTATCATGCAAAATCAATTTACCCTTCAACGTTTACTTAGACTACACAAGAATCATCCTGGAACCACGAAGCATATTTACTGTTTCCAGTGCACTTGGATGGAACCTTGCTGGACAATTCAAAAGCAATGATGGCGAAGAAAGAGTTCTTCTCAATCTCGGATGTTCTTCAGATATTTCGGCAGGTGACTGACATCTAGACTCCTTGCTTCTTTTTGCTGTGTTTTTACTTGAAACTGTATGTGTTCTCCATCCAGGTTTAATTGCTCCATACGGCTAAAATCTATATATGCATGACCCAAAATTCACATAATTTTATGAAGCCTGATACATTGTTTGGTCAGAGCTGTTCTTATTGCTTGGTTGTGACCATAATTTAGCTAGTCAAAGCTCGATGATGAAGGCCACTTGTCAAACTTTGTTCCTCTTTTTGCTTCTTGCATTCACTTTTTCCTTTCCTCTCAAGTTTCCAGTTCTTTGTCTCTGACCTCTTCGGTAGATACAAGGTAGGGATTTTTTTGGTCTGTAACTATATTATTCACTAAGAAAAAAAGTACCACAGCTTTGTGCAGGATTGAAGCACATGCATAGTCTTGAGCCTCCATATGCACACAATGATGTGAAACCCGGCAATGTCCTTATAACACATAGGAAAGGGCAATCACCTCTTGCCATATTGATGGATTTTGGCAGTGCTCGACCTGCAAGAAAGCAAATTCGTTCACGAACAGAGGCACTACAACTGCAGGTACATATAGTCATTATTTTCAATTTTTGGCAATCTTCTGCTTACAATCTCTATACCTATTCATTATTTTCAATTTTTGGTACAAATATTGTTCAAGTTGTCAATCTCTAGATCTGCATGGTGATTTCGTTTGCCTGCATACTCGTGCAGGTGCAAATACTTTTGGAATTCCATATTGTCCATGTATATTTGTTGCTGATCTTACTCATCTATGATTTTAAACGTATGCTTGTGGCTTTCCTTGTGCGTGTTTCTATTAGGAATGGGCAGCGGAGCATTGTTCAGCACCTTTTAGAGCTCCTGAGTTTTGGGATTGCCCAAGTCACGCAGATATTGATGAGAGGACCGATGTTTGGTCTCTGGGATGCACACTTTATGCAATCATGTGAGATCAATGTCTTACTATTTTACCATTTAAATCCCCAGAAACGTCACTTATGGTTGATGATAAAGTTTGCCGTAATATGTTAAAAATTGTAGTTCAGATGTCATTGATGTCTCAGACCTTGCAGTTAGTTACCTGCCTTGTTTGCTTTGACGTTCTCAATATATGGCTGATCCATACATACAGGTATGGTGTATCTCCATTTGAGTATGCTCTTGGAGAGTCTGGGGGGAGCCTACAACTGGCAGTCCTAAATGCACAGATAAAGTGGCCAGCTGGATCTAAGCCTCCATATCCAGAAGCTCTGCACCAGTTTGTGACGTGGATGCTTCAGCCGCAAGCAGCAGTTCGCCCTCGCATTGATGACATCATCATCCACGTCGACAAGTTGATTGCCAAGTTTTCCAGCTAGAGATTTCAGATTACTGAAAGAATGTTTGGAGTGGATTGCTTTACCTATTGTGATCAGCAATTGGGGAGGAGGGACTACGACAAGAACACAAACGGGGAAACAAACAAATAGAAGCTGTTCTGCGCCTGAGCCATCCCATGTTTAAACGAGAGCAGTAACCATTTGATTAGACTGCTACTTTTGGAAGTATTGGAAATAGAGTTATGAAAATTCATGTTATAGCAAACCCATAAAAGAAGAGAAAGAAGTTGCTCGAAACACACAAAATCATCGACTATTTAGGTTGCTTCCTTCCTGAATGTTCTCAAGTTCCAGCATGAGAACAATTGAAGTATTGCCGCCTCTTGAAACCCATGCACCATATTAATGTACTAGATAGTGGAGCTTAAAATCATCGACTGCTAGTCAAGTTGGTATGGTCCACATGTAAGAAAGGTTTGTTCTGCCTCGGTTTTGGTCCATACTGATACTATTCCGATATATTACCAATGAAATATATCATATTATTAAGCGTATACTATTTGCCGCAACATAATTACTATTTTCTGTCAATTTTATGATTATATTTCTAAATAAATTTTTATTTAAATACCGCCATGGTGGACTATTAATTCACATGTTCCAACACATCCAATTCTCCTAACTTGCAAAAATAAAATAAAAACTGACATTCGCCAGAAAAATTGTCCGAAAAGGCTAAAGTTGTTGTATTTATCGTCGTTTGGTCTAATGCCTCATTAGTTGCCACCAACGAAGTATTTTTCAAGATTTTGTCATGATGTGATTTTTCCTACGATTTTTGGTTGTGGTAGACCATCGGGTCGAAAAACGTAGATGTTGAAACGAGGCCAAGCCAAAAAAAATTGATTGGAACCAAGACGAGTTGAAGAAATCAACTAGTCGGAGCCTGCCTAGCCTAAAAAATCCGGTGCCCGGCACCAGGGCTAGCTGAAGGAATTCTTTGGCCCGACCAAGTCAAGGTCGACTGATTCCCTCGGCTAGTCCTGGTTCCGGTGGTCAAAAAGTTTCGCCTGCACCTGAGTCCAACCTCTTATCTTTTTTGGTTCGAGGGTATTTTGGGAGGATTTGCGTTTTTATTATTATTATGAATTGTATAATTTAGAAATAACTAATATTCAGTGTTTAAATTTGGCAATAAATTATGTCTAATTTTTTAATGAGTTGGTTTTAATTATTACTAGTATAATTTATAAATAAATTATGTTTAGTATTTAAATTTAAAAATAAATTATGTGTAATTACACTAATTAGTTCATTGCGCTTACTAATTTTATGATTTAGAAATCAATTAGTATTTAAAGAGTTTAATAGCATAAATTTCCTTTTATATAGCCACATGCACTCACCCCATTGTCACAAAAGCTCCCTTGTAAGTTGTAAGTGTCAAAGTGGATTGTTACGATATTGCCAATAAAGTTATTTGTCGAAGGGCGAACATGGGCAGGATTGTCGAAGAAGCTGCAAGCCAAGTCGAGTTCCCTTCAAAATGAACACAACAAAGGTCCTAACAAGGCTTGACCAAGGAGCTTGGAACAAGTAGACTGTAACATCTTGATCTTTTTAACCAAAAATATAAACTGTTGCATCGGAGCATAACAAATTTCTTAAAAATCCAAAAATAAGGGGGGAAAAATACTAAATAATTTCTTAAAATTTGAATGTAAAGATCTAAATAGTTGGCCAACTTCAATCAATAAATCATAAAACACAAACTCTCAATCTCCAGTTTATACTCACAATCATGAAACAAAACAACTAAACAGTTCCAGCTACATCTTCTTACTATGATCCTTCCTGAGACATCTTCAATGTGATGCTCGGTTCGCACGATCTCCTCTCGAGCTACTCACCCTCTAACCCTTCCTATACTTGGTGGGCGAGAAGGGGCCAGTCTACGCCGCTGCAACGGATTCAACCTTATAATAAACTTAAATAATTGCTTTTATTTTGCAGGAGTTGTTCTTACTGCCTTCCTTTAACGTTGTCCTTTAAATGAATTTGTGGGAGTTGGCATTAACCTCCAGCCTTAACCTGAAAACTAGACCACTCCTTAACCTATGATCACCGCATTCGTATCGTTGTTCGGTGTCATTACCTCCTAGGCAATGACTCGCGTTTCCAATTTCCGTCTGATGCCATGCCTAATCAACTAGTGTGTGTCGTACCGCCATCTAGTAGTGATCTAACCTCCCGGAGGTTCCCTTTCCTTACTAACACCCACACACACACATCACCCTCACCTTCATTAGGAAGGTGGGTTACCTCAACATACATCCACAAGCCTCATACATTCTGGATTTTTCTAGTTCAAATCCAGGAAAAAGGAACCCTCAAACATGCATCTCGAGTAATTATAACTCGTAACTGAAAGGTTGAACTCATAAAGTTTGAACTTAAAAATTGTCGTAGAATTATCCTCTTTACACTCACCTTAATTATTAGTAAAATTGGATTGACCCGAACTGAGCATCTGACGCAGAGGTGGAGCTACACGTAAGGTAGGGTCCCCCCCCCCCCCGGGATTGGTCCCAGCCCCTAGGATCGTAAGGATATTTAGTACAAATTTTATAAGTACAACTTGTTCCGTAAATTTTGTTGTGTAATAGTCATGTAGTCTAATGGTAGACAAGCTTGACTTGTGCTTCTAAAGAACATGGGTTTGATCCACCATGACTACATACATTTTGTTTAATTTTTTTTGCCCCCCGGTCTCGAAATCTTGGCTCCGCCCCTGACCTGACGTTAAAACTCTTTGCTCGAAGTGCACCAACTACGAAATCTCTAGCTCATGCAACTATGTCAACGTGATAACTTAGTCTCGATCGGGCATCTCCCATCTTCATTGCATCCCGAGCAAACTCTACGTGCATGAAATCATGCATTGTATTCACAAACAGCTCGCAATCCACTAGCTAACCCATCACGCAACTCTGTTCAGTCCTATACTGACACGAACAATAAACCCAACCACCATCATTGTAATTCAATTACTAGTCTCCTGCCATAGCCATGCATACCATGTGTTACTTATTGGGAGTGCTTTTGCTCATTGCCACCTTTTAAATTGGTACTCCTATTAAGTGGTGTAGACAGGAATTCATCTAAGGTAGGTCAAATGTGAGAAAAAAAAAATAAAGTTTAAGAATGTGTTTTCGTATATTGAAAAGTTTTCAAAATATATTTATCATACAAATTACGATGGATATCATTCTTAAGGTATTTTGCCGAAAAATAATTTATGATTTCATCACACATCTTATTTTGAAGTGTTTTTTTCATGTTGGTCAATGCTGTAAGGATTCTTTCAGCACTTTCAAAGGCAACCAATAGCAACAAACATCAATAAGTTTTGAGTTTTCGTTTATATTAAACTAAGTTTTAAAATATATTAATCATAAGATAAATAGAGATCACAAAATATTATTGGTTTGTAAAATTATTACAATAATAAGGAGATTTTGTATCCAACCCATAATCACATAAAAATTCATTACTATATTGTTGGGCCAAGGTGATGCAAATGACCTACCTTGGCCCTTAGTGGCTCCTGTTAAGAACCGGACATTTGCAGCACAGCCTCGTAATGCGCACGACAGACTATCAGACTGTCACCTCCAGGATAATATAAACACTCTTTGTTTTCTCTCAGCTTGTGCGGAATCAGACCTCTTTTAATCTCACTCTCTTCGTGTTTTTGCTCTATATCTCTTTCTAGGGTTAGGCAACTCATCTATCTATCTATCTATCTACTATACTTATAATACGCCGAAGGGGAAAACGGGATCCCCATTTCAAATTTCCTGCAACGAGAGTGAAAGTAGGAAGGACATTTTGGTCTTCACAATTTCTTTTTTTTATTCATTAAAAAGATACGTACTGGGATTCGAACCATGACCATTTTAAAGAAAGGCAAGGATAATAACCAATCACAATAAGTACATTTGTTGTACCTTTCTAAATTAAAAACATATAATAGCAGGGTGAAAAAAACTCTTCCCCCATTTCAAATTCCCTGCTCTAGGAGCGTTTGTAGGAAGGGTAGAATAGGGAGTGTCAATTTTTTTCTCTTTCCTCCGTGGAACGGGCCAACTTACCGTACACATGCGGATTTAAACGGGTCCAGGAGTGTCAATTTTTTTCTTTATACCCTTTTATTTCTTCGTGGTGATAAAATATATATGAAAAGGCAAAAAAAATACTTCTTTTTATTGTTAAAAATAAAAAATTTAACAATAAACTAATGCATGGTATCTAATGGGCTAACCGCTAACCATAAAATAAAAGAGTTGAACAGGCCTGACCAACACGGGATTTGGCTATCAAGTAAAACAAATGAACATCATTGGTTTGACATTCTAAAACAAGCTATTTTTTCTGGCATAATATATATTATGCTATTATTTTATATCTTAGTGGCTAAAATATACTGTATTTTAAAGTTATTCAATGGTTCAACCTCGACCAACCCAATTAGTCCAATTTTTATCATTTCAAATATATATTATATAATTATTTGATATCATAATGATAAAATTATAGTGTATTTTATAGGGAATCATTTGGTATTTGTTAGTAAAAAACTAAACAGAAAGATCTATTTGGTTATTTTAAACATTAAAACGATCCTAAACATTTTCAGTTCCTTTTGAATTTATATGGTTTTATTCCCAAACAAGTGATGTGCAAATGGCGAATTACAGTCATCTCTTTTATTTCACTATTTTTTATTTTCAAATAGAAAGTTTAAAAGTAACGAATAATTAGAATTTTGCATGGGTCGGTCAAACAGACTGAATTTTAAGTTTGGCCCGTTTTGATCGAATCTAATTTATAATCACATGGTTCCCTAATACCTGATAAAAATCTCAATCCAAACCAGTTTGGCAGGTGAGTCCGTGTTACCACCATTTTCTAGGAATACGACAACGGCGGTTCCTATCCGAAATCGTGTTGTTCGTTCTTGATTTCCTTAGATTTTATCATGCCCTGACAAAAACCAGAAAGCACAATGACGACAAGATGAACGTTTTATAAAGCAAATTAATAATGTTCTCTTTATGATCTCGTGTAATTATATAATGAAGTTGAATTTTTTTGATGCTATTCAATTTCATTGGTATGTTTTTAATGGTCTAACTTCATGGTTGTACCAACTTCTGATGTACTATTTATGTTCCAATATATTCACTTTGGTATGATTATTAGGGATATGGTAGGCGGTACTCACCATTAGGCCAATTTAGCTTAATGGTTGAATCTACGGGTTATCCCAATAATTCAATATTCGGCTCAGCTCCCCCGACCAACGGGTCGGGTTATAAGTAAGCTAGTCTATTTATATAGGATGAGACCTTCAGACTTTCCCTTTTGGTTGAAGATTGAGAATTGAAACACCCTAACCCGGCCGGGTACTAATTTTACCAAAATACCCTCAATAAACCGAGAAGTAAAATAAGAACTGAAAATACTTAGAAAAATAGCGGAAACATTTCATAAATAAATTTAATAAATACCAAAAACAACTGTCATTACTTAAACACAAAGCTTGACACTTGGGCAAACTAAAACCTTAAAATCTCAAAATGATCTCCAGCCTATTCTCATAATCATAAACTGAAACAACTAAAAAGTCTCTAATGCTACTGCTTCCTGAAAGCCTTGACCAGACATCCTCAGTGGCACTTGTACTGTCCTTCTCTAGCTAGCTTCATTCGAACTGTTTCTCTCGATCCCACTGCTCTCTAACTGCTCCTCTAGCTTCTTCCTCTTCAAACTGGTGAGTGAGTTGGGGTCAGTCTACGCCCTTACGTTTAACATCTTATTAATGCTTGATCACTTTACTTAACTGAGTGGAAGTTGTTTTGTACTTCCACTATTAAAAAGCTTAACTCTTAAAACTGTATGGGAGTCACTGCTACTCCATTCTTAAATCTCAAAGCTTGACTTAAATACTTGACCGACACTGGGATCCCTCACTAGCTAGTCCGGTTGCCAACTCATACGTATGAGAAGCCATTCAGGCTTTCCTTAAACTTAAACTTAGTTAGGGAAGTCGTAACGATTCATCCCCCTAACATCTTAAACTTATCGTGGTGGCTCTTCACCACGATTCTCAAGGGCATAACTGCTGCTCTATCTCCAAATCTCAAATGGCAACGACTTCACCTTCTTGAAGGTGAGGTACTTCTTAAAACAAAAGGACATGTTTCTTAAACTTTAGCAATAACTCATAACATAACGCTTTAAGGTAAATAGCACAAATAGCACAAAATCACCTCAAATAGCACAAAATCACCTCAATCATAGCTCAAGCAAAGCACAAATAAGCAATCATAAACATAATCAAGCAAAAGTAACTCATTCACTAAAATACTTAAAATCATAATACTTAAAAGAATACGTAAGGCGTAGAATTTACCCCATTTACACTCACCTCGAAAGAAAGACTCCTCGATTCTTTACTCGAAGAAATCCCTCCTCCTTCTTTGACAAATCGATTTTGAATTACATTACCCTTATAATGAACTCTTTGTAATCTTAACCATATATCCTCCCCACGTGATCCTGCCACATCCGTCCAAATCCACCAAGCCACCTCACTATCAAAGTTTTGGGCGTGAACACATAAAGTAGGGGGACAAAAATTTACCTTTGTCCCATTAGAACTAGGGTCCTTGATCGATCCCTGTCCAAGTTCCTCTCGCCCCCAGCTTTTCTTGTCCTATTGACTGCCTCGATGGAAAGATGGCGATTCAAAGTAGTTGGGGCGGTGATGATCGGTTGGGACTGGGAAGGTTTGATGGCGCGGCAATGTCAGAATAGAGCCTAAACTGCCTTCCACAATGAATCAATAATATAAATAACCCTAACATATAAACCCTCGATGGAGATGCGTGTGGATATATATACCTAATGAAGCAGCCACTTCCACATTTTTGGCCTCCTCCTTTCCACCGCTCAAATCTCTCAAAATCGAGCAACGTAACCTAGCTTCCCTTGAAGCCGCAGCCGAACAGAGGAGAGGCAACGACATAGGTTGCCGCCGATGCATGGAGTTCGACAGGGTCTAGCGGAAGCACAAAGAATTGGATCTCTCTTCCACTTGTAATGGCGGCGGGGAGGAACTGATTTGGGACGAGAGCTTCTGGGGAAAAGAATGGTGAGGGCGGCGGTTGATTTGGGGACACAATTGGGAGGGCCGCTCGGCCCCCCAGTCCTCTTTATTTATTATTATTTTTAAATTAATAATTATTATTATAATAGTTATTATTATTAATTATTCCGCGGGTGCAATCCTTAGTAGGTAACCATTAATCCAACCGTTCACGTATTATAGTCGAACCTGAACCCAAAGGTCGGGGTGTAGCAAGAATTTTCTTAAAGAAGGAAATCAAAATTAATAAATCCGAATAGAACTTTGATAGGCTATTGATTGCACATGTTTTTACCTCTATTCTTGAGCCGTTTGAGATGTTGATTCTCGTGTTTTAAGCGGATTTCCCGCTAGGTTGTGCGTTTATGTCATATTTCAGGGCTTAGCGTTGGCATCGAGGCGAAGAAACGAGTTTCGGGTCGAAAGGAGCACGTTTGGGGTGAAGTGTGCTGGAGGAGCGAAATACCCGACCATGGGCAGAAATACCCGGCCGGGTATTATTTGGAGCAGACCGGGGATGTGATGCTTCGGGCGTCTCTGAGAAGCAGAAGGGGGCCCGGGCAGTGAGCAAAAATCCCCGGTCAGGGATTCTTGGCCTTGACCGGGGATTTTCCCCTGTTCCCTGACGGTGCGTTTTGATAATACCGGTCGCCACCCAAAATACCCGACCGGGTATTCAGACCGGGGATCGCGACAGACAACTTCTTAAGGGAAAAGAAGGGCAAAAGTGAAGGGCTCCGAATTTTAGAGAGAAAAAGCGATACCTAGAGAGAGAAAGTGATGAACCTGATTCTGCAAGTGTCCTTGATCGATCTCCATCACCATTGGAGCGCAACTTGAGCTTGGAGAAGAGCTGATTGGGTGCCAGAAGTAGATTCCCATCCTTCACAGTATGGTTTCCGCATCTGAGCTAGATTTCCTATCTCTCTCTATGGAGTAACTTTCTTATTCACTTGGGTATGAAGAACCCTAGATTTGTATGTTAGGTCTGATTGTATGAACCCAAGTACAGAGTCAGTGGTATGATTATGTTCAATTGAGGTTTGATTTGTTGAATGGCATGAATCGTGATCAGATTCTTGTTGTTTCTGCTTTAACCTAGAAAGAGAATATCTACCTAGGTTGATAGAGCACCCTTGATTGAAGGTAGTGAATTGGCGACTTTAGTCGAGGAGTCAATTCACTATTCTGCACCGAATTTACTTCGGTAGTGGAGGTTTGGTTCGTTAGGGCCTCAATTTGTTTACTCCGGTGGAGGTTAGTCGCCCACTGGAGACTCAGATTGAGAGGGTCTGGAGAGCTTTAGTCGAGACTTCATACTGTTTAAGAATCTCCCGCAGTATAACTATCATTGAATCTAAACTTGGTAAATTACAATCTGGCTTAACTGCAGTCTAGGGGGAACCATATCCGGGTGACCTCTCTCGACTTGAAAACAACATTTTTACTTGCTTTGCTTGTTTGATTGTTTGGATCTTCATTAAAGTTTCACTGCTAAATAATAAGAACTCACGGAGTAGTCATCACATCTAGGACCCGGGTTGACATTAAAACCCAAACCCACTATACTACGCTTTAGGAGGTGGTTACACTTGGCCATTTTCTAGAGTGACGGTAGGAGCGAGTCAAGTTTTTGGTGCCGTTGTCGGGGACTTTCTAGATTATTAGGAAAGGCAGAAGTTTGTTATTTTATCGTTTTTCTTTTCTTTTTCACCCTTGCTTTTCACTTGGGTGTTTTTGTTTTTGTTGGTGCAGATCTGAATCATGGATCCTCATGGCTTCTCCAACCATTGGCGGTATCCACCACCATCCGAGAGGTATTACCCCGAGACTCCCTAGAGCAATCAAGGAGGAGAATACCAACCCCCATACTACGGAGAACAATCAGACCCCTGGGCATATCAAGAACAACCTCATTACCAAGAAGACTTTCTCCCACAACCAGAAGGGCCATCGGAGCTGGAGTTACCAATGGCCGCCTTCACGGGCCATACTGCAGATCCATGCTACACTCCACAGCCATATCCAAACTATGAATTGAGGCTTCTCATGGAGCAGTTTGCTCGAGACAGTGAGAGATCATGCTCCAGGATGGATCTTTGTACCCAGGCCTATCGTGAAACAGAGGAGATCCTCCTGAACATTCAGAAGAGCCTCAATGATCTTGAGAAATCTTATGCACAACCTGCTCAAGATCACCCTTCTGCTACTATACAAGAAGATGAGGAGGAAGAAGAAGGCTACAAGGATATTGTGGAGCACACAGAAGTTGTCATGTAGAGCTCCCGTGATGATCATGATCAGGAATGTCTTGTCGTAGCTCACCACACCTTCCCACATCCCACACTGAGCTTTAAAGAGGCGGGCATGAGTGAGGAGATGCAAGAAGATCTCATCAAAGAAATTTCTTGGCGACTTGCCCTCCAATCCGTGCTGGAAGAAGAAGAGCAAGAAAGGGTGCATGAAGAAGTTGTGGAGGATGATGAAAGTGAAGTAGAAGGAGTTCTTGATCTTTTCCCAGGGGTGATACCACATGAAGAAGGAAGGGAGTTGAAGAAACAATTGGCGCCGTCCAGGCCGAGGATGAAGTTGAGGTGGAAGAGGCTTGCACCGGCCATGAGTTACATGTGATATCTCCACCAAACTTTGAGGAATTGCTTAGCGAGGACCCATTTGCAGTGTCTCTTTTCCAGACCAAGGCCACATCGACATCGATCTCTCTTGGTGGACGTGATGGTGGTCAATCGATGTTGTCATATCCGGTTTGGGGCAATGAGACGAGAGAAGAGAAGAAGAGGTCTCGAGGGTGGAGACGTTATCTGCATCAAGTGCACGAGCTTCCATCACCTGTCATACCACATGTTCGTGACTTGAGACTCCACCTCATCGACGAGAACCTCAACTTCAAGGAGGTTTTGGGGTGGACCGAAACTTAGGAGCCATCGTCCGGCTCACGACGGGAAAGAAGCGCTTGTTGGGAGGCAACCCAACCAGTTGGTTTGCATTTCTTTCTATATTTCTCCTCGGTTGATTCAGTTTTGTTCTTTGATTTTAGAGTCAATAACTCAACCTTAGTGAGATTTTTTGTGGTGTTTGTGTTCCGACTACTCTCTCCTCCTGGAAGGCACCGCCTGCCCCCGTCGGCCATCATTCACCCTTGCTCTGGTAACTTCGTTCTACTCTCCTCATCTTTTCTCCATTGAGGACAATGTCTTGCTTAAGTGTGTGTGTGTGGGGGGGGGTGTTCGATTATGTATGCGTGTGAATGCTTAGATCTGTTTGTGTGCTTGGGGCCTAGTCCACTGTCCAAATTTTTAACTTTGAGGGCTCTAAGTACGTTTTCCTTGCAATTGCCTGCTCAGTATACTTTGAATTGACAGTCTCTATAGTAATGTGCAACCTAGGGAGGTAGTGTATCACTATGGAGGATGTTGATGCATTTAAGAAGTCTCCTTTCTTCTTCATATTGTGTTGGTTGATTGTGTGAATTAGTGATCTTAGGACCCTTGAATTGTGTGGTGTTGTGGAATCTCTACCGTCATGGACTCCTATATCATGTTTTCAAATAAAAGGTGCTCGAAAATGTGCTTTAAAATAACGTCTCCCATGCGAATAGGGCGAAAGTGTGTAAGGGGAGATGCGAATTTGTTCCCAATTTCCACCTACGACCTCCAGTCCTCTTACATATCTTTCCCCGCACGAGGGTCGAGACATTCGCTCCTGGCATGGCTGGTAAGAGCCGGGCTCCCGCAAAACCTCTGCTAGGTGGGAGCCCCCATTTTCTGAAAAACAGGTTGGAACCCTTGAAAAGAAAAGAAAAAAACAGAAAAACAAGGGAAAACAAAGAAAGAAAAGGGGTTCCAACGATCTTCAAGAAGAAAATAGAGCACCTTAAAAATGCGAGTCCATGATCTTTTGTTTTTGAGAGTCCATTCGTCCACAATTAATTTGTCGTCAGATCACTATTTGCCATGATGCCGACTCGAGACTAGCGTTCTCGCCGAAGAAGCTATGAGATGACTTGTGCGTCTGTTGACCTCGTAAGCTGCTAAATGATCTAGAAAATCTTCTATCAACGATCGAGGGTGCATGTTGCTATAGAGGTCTGAAGAGCTGCATTAGTTTGAGTTAGGTTTGCTTGGGGACAAGCAAACGGTTAAGTGGGGGGGGGGGATAGATGACTCGATATTTGCACATGTTTTCCCCTTTGTTTCTTGATTGTTTAAGCTTGCATTATTGCTTCTTTGGCCTATTTTACGCTAGGTTGTGTTCCTTTTTCACATTCAGGTCCTAGCACATAAAGTGAAGTGTAGGCGCAAGTTCCAAGTCAATCGGAGATCAATTGGCAATTCGGGGGAAGAAACTCGGGTATGACTTGAAGAAGAATGCATTTATACCTCAGTTTGTGACCATATAATCATTTAATCTTGTCATGAGAAGAAAGAGGATGAGACTACGAGCGTCTGGGATCAAACGGCACCTGATTTGGAGTCCGAACGAGGGAGAAACGAAGAATCAAAGATAGAGGACCCGAAACTGCAAAATACCCGACCATAATGCCCTACCGGGTATTTTGACCATCTGATAGGGTTATTTTGGCAGCATCAGAAGGCCCCCCGGTCGTGAACCAAAAATACCCGACCGGTACTAAAAATACCCGACCGGGTATTTTCCCTTTTGCCCAAAAGAGTGACCAAGAGCATTTTGTTGATACCCGACCGGTTGCCTACATACCCGACCGGGTATTCTGACTGGGGATCGCGAACGCAAGCTATTAAAAGCCTGTTTTGTGAGTTTTTGCAAGGGAGAGCTGGGTTTTGGATCCCAAACACCCAAGGGACGAACCAAAGATAGAGAGAGAGGGCGATTTGAGGGCATTCTTGGAGTGGAACTGGAGGATTTCTTCGCCTAGGAAGCTTGAGGAACAATCCCGAACTTGAAGACTGATCATCTGAAGATTCTTACTGCAGTCTCTCTCTTCTCTATGGAGTAACTTCCCTTCACTTAGGGTTTGAGGAACCCTAGCCATGTTTGTTTGATTGGATGATTGTATGAGTACTCCTACTTGATAATCTTGAGTTCATATTCAATCTATGCATGTTTTCATGATTCAATTCTGCTTTAGTCAAGATTATTGATTCTGCTTTGATCCTATGAGAGTGAATACTTGATTAGGTCAATAGAGCACCATAGATTGATAGTATTGGATCGATTGCTTTAGTCGAGGGTCGATTCACTGCTTTGTATCGATTGAGAACCTCTTTCGATAGAGGGAGTCTAGTTCAGAACGCCTTGATCGGTTGTTCTAGAGAATGATACATCCCTCTAGGCAATTGACTCAAGAGGGCCTTGTTCCTTTATTCGAGACTCAAGGTCTAGTTAAGGATTCTCCGCATTGTGAATGAAAGTGAAACAGGTTAGAGATCATCAATCATTAATCTGGCTGGTGGCTAGGGGGAATCATACCTAAGTGAGTTCCCAACCTGTAATTAGATTAACTTTAACTGTAGTTTGCTAGAGTAGTTTTAGTTCTTTCATCTTAATCTGGTTTGCTAGATAATGAACTGAAGCTGAGTAATAGTAACTCTAGAGACCCGTGGATTCGATATTTATTACTTGAGCCACTATAATGCAGTCCCTTTCATTGGTTACACTTGGCCTTTGTTAGGAGTTGTGCCATAGCGAGTCAACCTTCCTTTATTATAGACAATTAACCCGATTGATTAAAGTTTACTTTAATACCAGATATCAATCCAATTGATTGAAACTTTCTGTTAGTACGAGTAATTGATATGATCATGAAAGATTCCTTCAATATGGTAAAACAATCCAATTGATTGGAACTTTCCATTAATTCGATCTATTAATTCTGGTTGAAGAAACTTTTCGTTCAATACGGAGAATTAATTCGAATTAACTTAACTTACCTTTTGTAAGGACTTCCCTTTAGTTTTTACTACCTATTCTGATATGATCCCAGAATGCCAACAGTTCAAGTCTCAATGGCTTGACAAAGAAGCAATCTCAATAAGTAAGAAGAACCCTAAAATTTGGCTAAGTGTTAATTCTGTTTCGGGGTGCCTACTTTGCAAGGTTGTTCCTCACAAATGGCTCGATGGAAATGCAAGAAGAAGGTTTTCAATTAAAGAGAAAGTGTTGCTCTACATGATTGAAGGTTTGCTTGATCAGAAACAAGTCATTGAGATCATTTTCTAGAGCCCTCAACTTTGGAAGCTTATTCGAGATGTAGGGTTGAGAGTCGAGTCAAGAGGGTTGTGTCACATGAAAGTACGTGTTTTCTTCTACAACCTCAAGTAATCGGGTGATCCAAAGCTTACCTTGAAGGCTTCGAACGAGTGCAATATTGTATAGAGCCTTGCCATTCTGTCTTGCCTTAAGCAATCTGTTTTCCTTATGGCATCCGGATTCCTTCTTGTTGTTATTGTTTAGTTTATTTTCGTGTGAATGATGCTTGCATCATATGGAGTACATGCAGGTATACAGTCAAATTAGTTATATTTCTTCAAGATCTTCACTATGTAACAACATTGATCTAAAAAAACCATTTATTTTGTTGTAGTTATCTAGATTCCAAGCATAAACTTAGCTTCACCTAGTTTTTTCACCTCAAAGTTCTCTCT